TTTTTTGTATTTTAAAAAATATAATAGACCTCCTCATTATAACATTACCAGAACAATGCATTTATGTCAAGAGTTTCAATTGAATATACTTTTTAATCGCAGAAGTATTGCTTCATTGGTGTTTGTCTATAAAATACTAAATAATCTTATAAATGACTCGTATATTTTATCATTATTTAAATTGAATATTTCGCCCATAATAGCTAGACATTACCGTTTACTTTTTATACCTGTTGTTAAAACTATTTACAGTTCACCATTTTTAGTCATGTCTCGTTTGGTTAACCCTGTCTCATTAACACATAATATTGATTTTTTCCAACCATCGATGTAGAAATTTTATAATAGAATTCGAAATTTATTTAATTATAGCTATGTACCTTGATTCGCACCCTATATTTTTCTTTTTATATTTTTCTTTTTATATTTTTCTCTTTATATTTTTATTATTATTATTTTGTTTAATTGATGTAAATTGCTGCAGTTCTCAAGCTACTGTTGTTACCATGCACATTATTTGTAAGAATGTTAATAAATGTTATGATTTTCCATGTAGTTAGACAATTTGTCTGTTTTGAATGAATAAATAAATAAATAAATAAATATTTCAACAAAATTTAGGAAAAAAATCAAAATCAAAATCATCATTTGACCGATATTTGGGTCAGTTTCACCCAAAAACCTCACTTTTCTCCGAAATTTGTATTGAAGTGATGAATATTGACTACAGGATCGTGTTCAGCGTATCGAATACCTTCGGAAATGATATGTGGATGTCTTGGATTTGGACTTTTTTGTGTGCCTGTGTTATAAATACAGATATCTTAGGAATATCATTCGAAATAATTGAATGTATGTACTACTAAGATTCATTAAGATACATAAATGCGATTTGTGCAAAACATTAAGATATTCTAATTCTAATGTTAACAATGTTTTCATCTTTGTCATTCTTCTGTAATTCTGCCATTCAATTTTATTATTTTAAGAGAAATAACTTTTCTTTTGTGAGTTATCGTAACGTCGCTCTTAAACCTGTATATAAATTCTATATTATTCATTTGTCGCGGTGGTATTATCACAAACTATAGAACTCTTTTTTTTCCAGAAATCAAATGAAGACGTGAAAGAAACCATTGCCAAAAAGGCAGTAAGCTTCGAACGTTCAGAAACGGATTCGAAACCCGACAAATCGAAGCCTGACTCCACCTCTACGCACTCGAGAAATCTGACCGTACCGGATGTAGAGATTAGGAAAAAGTCTCTGAGGGAGAGACGCATGTCCAAAAGTCTCTACCTCAAGATCGATTTTCCCAAGGAAGTACCGGTTATTAGGCAAAACTCCATGCCGAAATTCTTCCTGGACACGCCCGAACACAACCAGACCGAGTCGACGCTGGTTAAAGGTCATTTGACTAGTTTGCAGAGCCCTATGGTAGGAAACGACAAATTTTCTTACGATCTTTATTCTGTCGTGCAAAGAGAGAAGACGAAGAGCCAGAGCTCTCCGAGAGAAATCGTGCCAATTCATAGAGAATCTTCTAGGCTTGCTCTGATCAAGGAGAAAATCAAGCTGAAGAAGAGCAAGAGTACTGTTAGTGCTAGCAACATACCACACAGTAATTACATCTAGTATGCGTATTTATTTTACGCAGATAAGTGTTTAGATGTAGAACTAGAACTAATTTATGTTAATTTGAAAAGTATTATTATGGAATCATATATTTAGGTTGTATGATACGGAAGTATTTTAATGGCGCAAGTTTTTTGTGTAGTTAGAAATGTGAACATGGCAAGGTTGCTTAAACTGAAGCAGGTAAGTGGCCTAGATACTACTTGGATGACGTTACGGAAGTAAGCCGTGTCGTGGCTAGAAAACAATTTTAAGAAAGATTAATTTTTGAATTTTGAATCATTTGCAGAGTTCATATAGAACTAGAAGAAAATTATAGGTTTTCTTTTTTATCACTAAAGATGTTATTAATCAATTGATCTCCTATTCGTATAGTAATTTGATAAATTTTCGTCAGTCCAACAGTCCTAACACGCAGAGTGTGATTTCTGCCAGTGATAGATAACGTTTAAAATTGTTAAAATACAATTAAATTTCAAATCAGTATTTAACAAATAAATATCAGTACCAATTGTACCAATAAATACCAGAACAGTTTTAATTTCACAGTTGGCGGAATTTGATCACAAAAACTTAAAATCACATTTTTATTATCAGTATTAGGTGTATTAATTATTAAATATATTACAGGCCAATCAGTATAGGTACCACATGAATCTTTATTATTATTACTGATAAGAAAATAACGAAAGAGGAAAGGGATATTATCGTATTAATTACCAGAGTTTTTTAAAAATATTTCAGTGTTATTATTTTGAAAGTGACATACAAAAAACATATGAGTAATTATTTATTTAAACAAATCTGCAGTAATTCGCTCTCATGCTTAAAAAATGTCCTTATAGCGATAACATTTTTAGCTAATGCCTTAACAATATCAATGAAAAAACAATGACAAAAAAATGTCGGTATATAGTAGGTAAATACCTTAGTTTGTCACGGCTGGAATGTCGTTAAATTTGATAAATGATGCTCAATAATTTGATTGTTTGAAAGTTTGAAGCAATTTATAAATAATAAAAAAAAAACCACCTAGTCCTACAACAGCCGAAGTTTTACTTGTGAAGAGAACAAAAATTGTACCAATTTTTTTAAATTTACTTTTATATTTTTATTTTTATTTATTTTTAAATACTTACCATTCAATATCATTAGACAAAAATCAAATTCTAGAATAATTTTCACAAATGTATTCTACGTTTTTAAAATTTATTCTATAGGGGTAATAAACTATAAACAAGCTTACATATCTTTGATAGCACGAGCTGTATTTTGACCCGTTTGACGTCGATGGAGCCATCACAAAAACTCCATCACGTCAGGATTTTTCCCTAACCTCAATAAATAGCTAAAAATCAGTGGAAATATCAATTTTTTGTTAAATAAGTTAAGATTTTGGAACTATACTACACAGACGTGTTAATAGGGTCAAAACAAAAACATTTATCTATTTCTACAATTTTTTCTCTAAAATGCCTGCTTGTGGAGTTACAACCATTTTAAACCAATTTTGAGCATTATTAAAATGCCTATTTATAATTAATCAAGAATGCACTTTAGAGAACAAGTGCAAGAATAAAAAGTTTTATTTTGATCCAATTAGTGCAAACCGTAAACTAATGAAAAGGAATATATCATGAGCCCTAAACTTAACGAAAGGAAAAAAACATAGCAAAGGGAAAAATTAAAGTGGACAGACGCACAGTGGATAATATTGGAAAAAATTCAAGACACGCGTCAAAACTAATCAAATAGTACTGATTTTTTCTTTATTCTTTCCGAAATTACCTGTACTATAAAGTTCCGGTGAGGTAATTAGAATATATGCCTAGATTTTTTTCAAAATGGCCGAGTAATCTGTAGCCTTAAACTCGATCATACGAAGTTTGACATATTCGGTATCAAAAAATGGAAAAAAAGGAAAATTATATACTAAAGGCTGCCAAACAAAAAAAAATCATAAACGTTAAACATATTCCTAAATCATGAATCTAGACCCAAAACATAACCTCAAATTTATAAATCTTAACCTAAAACGAACATACTCAATTTTTTCTAAACCTGTGAGTATAAATCCATAGAAATAGTACTTTTGAGTGTGAAACCAATATTTTTGCATAACTTTAACTCAAATTCATAGGAAGCTGACGAGAAAACCTGAAAACCTAACCTCAAATTCAAAATAATTAAGTTAAAAATCCACAGACACAATATATTTTCTTCAACAAAGGATATGATTGCTTCAAAAATACATTCTATGTTTTCCTGTGCATACCTAAAATTTAAATCCATAAAACGTAACCTTAAAGGACTAGAACCTAACTTCATATGTTTAAAATTTAAGCTAAAAATAAAAAAATAGCAAACAAACCAATTCATTTTACGAAAAAAAAATCTTGAACCAAAATTTTGCAACTGTGCATGACACAAACCTTGTAGCCTAACCTTTAATTTGCAAAACCTAACATAATTCCCTTAAACCTTAGATGTTAATCCAGAAAAATATATTGTTTCTGTGGATTTTCAGCTTAATTATTTTGGATTTGAGGTTAGGTTTTCAGGTTTCCTGGTCAGCTTCCTATGAATTTGAGTTAAAGATATGCAAAAATATTGGTTGTACACTCAAAAGTGCCGTTTTTATGGATTTATAATCACAGGTTTACAAAAAATTGAGTATGTTCGTTTTACGTTAAGATTTATAAATTTGAGGTTATGTTTTGGGTTCATTCATGATTTAGGAATATAATTTTCTTTTTTTTCATTTTTAGATACCGAATATGTCAAACTTTGTATGATCGAGTTTGAGGCTAGAGATTACTCGGCCATTTTGAAAAAATTCTAGGCATATATTCCAATTACCTCACCGGAACTTTATAGTACAAGTAATTTCGGAAAGAAAAAAAAATCGGTACTATTTGATTAGTTTTGACGCGTGTCTCGAATTTTTTCCAATATTTCCCACTGTGAGGCGTGTTAAATGGGTTAAAATGAATTTTTTTTCTCTAAAAAGCATTTTAGAGGAGTTATTTTAATAATGCTCAAAATTGGTTAAAAATGGCTGTTAGAGAAAAAGGTGCGGGAATATTTTTTTATTTTAACCCTATTAGCACGTCTGTGCACTTTAATTTCAAAACCTTAACTATTTTAACAAAAAATTGAGATTTCCACTGATTTTGAGCTACTTTTTGAAATTAGGGAAAAATCCTTGCATGATGAAGCATTTCTGATGGCTCCATCGTCTTCAGCAGGTCAAAATCTGTATCTGTTAAAAATATATGAAAAATTTTTTTTTGTGTGCCTGTGTAATCGGTATAACTAATATTTTCAAATAACCTCCTCCACCTGCCATGTATAAAATGATTAACAACCTCAAAAAATAATTTCAATTATAGGTAATAAGTGACTTTGAAACTAGAAACGCACAAATAAAAATATGTTTATTTTTCTATCCGGTATTATTATTAGGTATTATTTTAAAGAATAAATCACGTTCTCATTGTGACATTGTGCTTGCATAACTATCCAGCCCATTAATGAGTAATGGGCTATAATTTACCTATTTATTTTATTATGTAGAAAATTGCGTTTTTTTTTTGTTTCATAAATTCCTAACAAACAAATTTTTATGTTATGCATACAGTAAAGTTTTATTACTATTCCACGATCATTTACGATATTGTTATGATTTTCCCGAGAATCTTGGCCATTTTCTAGTTACCACTTTGGACATTATCATTCATTTTATATGTTGCCATCGTTAATTAGTCAAGTAGAAAATCAGTCAGTTAATAGATAGTTGAGGGTACAACATAGATAACATTCTTCCTGAATAATTTCGTGTGAATAATAATTACAAATTTGTTTTTTTTTCTGGATAAAGTTAATAGAAATTTATTAAGTTGAAATTATGTATGTTGTATTAAACAGTAGTATAAGTTAAGTATAGCTCAATATTTTCAAATTTCCTGTGTTAGATTTATAAGTAAACGCTTTTGTAGAATAATGTATAATTTTACATTTGATAGTATGTAGGTATAATTACCATTTTATATTTGATAATATAATACTTTAGTTCACTTAGGCTGTGACATCAATTTCTTGTATTAAGATAGATTGACTAGAAAAAATATTACTTGTATTCGTTACTTAGTTCTAAAACTTAAGCATACCTTTTCATACTTGGTAATTCTTAAACGTAGAGTTTGAATCCAGAATATGAATTATTTATTTATTTAATAAACTAACAAAATTGTTTAGTATTTTTTTTAACCCTCAAACCAGACGATTTGACTGACGGTTATAAACAGACATCGCGAAGGAGATGTTGGAAGCTTCAAATAGCTTATGAGAAAATCCTTCACTTCAATCTAAGTATATTCCATTTACTTATCAATATTTTTTACTTTGTTCTTTTAATTGTGTTCGACTCCCTTACCTCCTAAGTGCGACACTGAAGCCGCTAGACAAGTTCTATTTTACAAGATACACTTACGGGTCAACAGGAATAAGTTTGTGGGTGCGTTGGACCCGTTCACAGACACGCTTTGGACATTGGGGTGAGAGTGTCTCAAATATGCTTTTGCAAGCAGCCTTCTGGTAAAACCTTTTTAACAAAAATGCCGTAGTCCCTATACATTAATTTTCTATAAATTATCAAGCTATAAACAGAGACTTATCTTCATCTTATATCTAAAGAGGAACACAAAAAATTAAGTGATCAAGCATGAGAGATTATTGAAAATATAATTCACTTCATGCAACGCGAAGCGGAAGTAAATCAACCCATCATGGATCTGAAGAAAGTGTGCAATGGGAAAAAGGTTGTGCATGTTCAAAACATCGCAAAAGAAATTAAACAGATTCAAAATGGTGAACAAGGCAGCCTAGGAACGCCTAGCAAAAAAGCGTAAGATATCTGGTCAAAAAGTCGTCTGGATAACTTCGACAGATGGTTTTTTCTTCGATAAGTTAACAAGACTGAAATAATTATTCTATCCACTCTAAGACGTAGCCATCGAAAATTTGTCGTATACATCAATTACGGATAACCTCGTGAGAGCATAAGGCATAATCTAAAAAAATGGAATTCCAGTAGACCAAGAGGAACAATCGAAAGATTATTTAAGAAGCATTCAGAGTCACCGTGGAGGATATTGTCCGATAATGTTTATGAATGAAAATACGATAAAGCATGAAATGACAAAACAAACGAAGGCGTGCATCAGCCGATCTCGAAAGTCTGATAGTATTATACACTGAAAATGAAAAATGAACTGCATCCAATGCACACCTCACATCTAAATCGAAAAGCAAGACTGGATGACCTTTGAAAATTATTTAAAAATGATTGGAAAAAAAAATGATACCAAACATGCCACCTATTAGTAATAGGCAATGCTCGACACCATAACGTTAAAAGTGAGAAATGTCCTAATATGAGTTCAAGAAAGGAAGTCACGAAAGTAATGGTTAATTACTTACGGTCGAATTATTCGATTTAATTAAATTGTATAAAACTTACGTTATTGATAAATTCCTCAATAAGCAAACTCTGTGTCGCAGGCCAAAACGAGGGCTTTAGTTCGAGGATCGTTGAAAAACTGTGCGAATAACTATACTCGAGGAATACCCGAAATAAAACTTCTCTAAGTAATGTGTACCTTCTTTGTGATTATTTGTTTGTAAACTTAAATTGCAGTGTATTCAACTAAGTTAATTTTATTGTATTTATATACAAAAACATGATTTTATTGGACAAGATGCTATAGTTTTAAATGTTTAATTCTCTACACCTATTAATACGAGGGTTGGTAATGCACACATGATACGATCATACAATAGCAACAAAACAACTTACAGCACTGCGCGCGGTGGTATAACAAGCCTTCATCCGCCCTCTACCAGTGTACGAAGTTTTGTTAAAAGACCTTTACAGGTTCGCTGTTATCATTAAACCTTTGAAAATGTGAATCCTACCGATTTTTCGACTAAAAGCGGTTTATAGTGGTAGTACTGTTGATGAAATACGGTGAATCCATGGAGACTATACATCTAGTCTCCATGCATTAACCGATAAAAATAAACAGCGCCATCTGGAATGCTTTCAAGAACTGCTGGCGCGTTATTGTCGCGAAAGTAATGCTTTTCTTTTCAACATTGTCACAGGGGATGAGACATGGGTTTATCATTTTGACCCGGAAGAGAAGAGGGAGAGCATGGAATATTGGCACTCTACCGAAAAAATTCAAGCTCAAACCTCTGCCAAAAAAATCATGTTGACGGTTTTTAAGATGTGAAACGCGTTTACGTGATCAATTATCTAGACATGGGTCAACAGAATTCTGAGAAGTATATACAGATCTTCGCAGAATGGTATGTCGAATTCGACGCAGTACAGAACCCATAATCCTGCAACATGACAACGTTAGGTCGCACACCTCGCGCGCCACTGAGGAGTGTTGCGCAACCTGAAGTTCTTTCCTACTCTCCCGATTTGGCCCCGTGCGATTTTCACTTTTTCCCAGTGTTGAAACGCCACTTCAAGGGTAACCATTACGCCTCAGACGACGAGGTGCAGGAGGCAGTAAAATCTTGGATCAAAGAAAAGGATGAAAAATTTTTTGTTGACCGAATGAAAAAAAATTGTCAAATGTTGGGAGAAATGTATGTGTTAATGGGAACTATGTTGAAAAATAAATAAATCGTTTTGAAGCTAAATAATTGTACTTTCAATTTTTTTTGCCCCGTCCTGATATTTCCTCTCGTTCCCCTTCTACGGTCGTGTGTGCATTACTTTTCAACCAACCTTTGTACAATATTAACAATATGTGCAAAATAAATAACGTATGTCATAATTCAATATCTTTTGGTGTGTTGTGTTTATTTGGACATTTTGCCGCCGAGTCGGCCAAACAGCCTTTTCCTGTAGACCAGTGGTATTCACCAGGGGTACGCAAAGGGATATCTTAGGATAGGATGAACAAAATGAACTAGTTTAATCCAGAACATTTCTTATTTTCGCACTTACTAATATTCAACCATATACTAAAGATATGCGTGTTAATAAGCAAGCTCAAATTTTTCATTACCATGAACTAATCTAAGTCTGTACTCTAACTAATATTAAATTAAATTTACTCCAACCTTCTAAGATTTAAGATTGGGGTACTTAAGTAAATACAATTTTTTTCTTTCAGGCGGTCCGTGAAAGAAAAAGTTTTAATACCACTGTTGTAGACTATTCCTGGGATCCGCATCGCGTTCTCTCGCTCTTGCCGAATACCTTCTCACTCTGGTGTTTCCCAATCTAGTTCTGTTTGTCACCAATAAATTTATTCCTATTCGCCTGTACAACTGAAGATTTTATGTTCCACATTTATTACAAAGATACAATGTAATAAATACCCAAAAAATATTAGTAAAAGAAAATACAAAGAAAATTTTTTAATTATGTACTTTAATGAGATTTCTAAATTTGAAACTTATAGTTTCTACTAATTAAAATTATACATACAAAGCGTTTTGATTAAAATAAAGAATCACAGTATAAAACATAACAAAAGATCGATCACTGAATGAAAAAGTTACTTTGGCACCGACTTTGCTTTTTTTATCGTAGTCACAGAATATTGCAGAAAATGTTTATTTGACAATTGTGACGAAAGATTCATTCAGATCTTTAATCTATAATCTTATAAAAATATATCAATAATTTATATCAATTTGACTAAATCCATCTACACATGTATTAGTTAATCTTTCATATACACACACATATTACTAACATATCCATTTGTCAAATTCAATTTGTAACGTTGAGTAGAAGTAGGTGCGAAATGCCAATATAATATAATTACGCGATTTACTACCTATCTTTTTGAAGAAGTAGCAAGTGAACACATGAACTTATTAATATCTACACATTCCATATCAATACATTTTAACACTTAGTTACTAGGTAATTCTTCGAGGGTGACAGGATCCATATTGTCATCCATGCCATCATCCGATCTTTGTTCCTAAAAAAATGATCATCAGTGCAGGAAACAATAAATACAGCATATCTTACCATCAGTTTTTCGTCGTTTAATTTGTCTCTGTAATTTCGATCGAAGAAGTGGCACTATAATTATAAGAAAGGAATTTAAAAAATATATATATATACTTATAATTCTATATTTATTAGGTATAGTATAATATAATAATATTGGTAGAACAAACTGTCTCTTCAGGGTATCCCGTAATGCAAAGCAGGTACCTAGATAGAATACATAGTATTTACATTGAAGCTCCTGAAAATGTTTTTTTCAAATATTGGTTGTTTGTGAATGTGGGGTTTTAATTTTAATAGTTGTTCTTCCTGTCTGAGAACGACAATGATTTACAACATGATGACACAGAAAGCATTGGAAATTCAACAACATCCAAATAATATGAATCGTGGAGAAGGTTTTCAGATGAATAGAACCTGTTCTAAAGAACAAGAAATAGCATGCAGGGATAATTCATGATACACCACTGCGCAGACCTGAAAGCCTACGCAAAGGCACCGGTGATACCACAGATAAATGTCATACCACACCACCACCATTCTACTGCGTAGGCATGGAATCACGCGCAGCGGTATCCAGAATGTACCCGACGATATGCCCTCTACCCCACTCGATAGGACATAGACACCCGCATCGATATTGACGCCATCGGCAACATCAAAGAGAGCTCCCACCCCTATTACCACCACTAGATAGTGCAGTCTCCCGTGCGCGCGCACCGATGTTAACGCTATAAGACCGGTGACGAGGTCGCAACGCAAGCGGTCTCAGACAAATTACTTCAGCCTTTATAAGGCCACTTAAACAGAATTTTGCAATATTTATTGCAATATTTTACTAATAACCGACATTCAGCCTAGGCAGAGAGACCGTTGCCATTTATTTTACAGATACTAGTGCCGTGAAAGAGGGCACTATGTCGAGATCACCGACCCCCATGGAGAACATGAAGCATGCCTAGCACCCCCGGGTCGGTTGTAGAGAAGGCGACGAGCCGTGAGAGCGAGCTGGCAGCAGAGGTTGCCAGACTACGGCAAACCATTGATAACTTCAGAGACGAGCTGAAGCAACAGCGGAAGGCATTTGAGGCCCTCGAGAAGAGATCTCGAGAACAACATGTTGAGCTGTTAGCGCCCTCAAGTGGCAACATTCTCCGAAAGCCGTTAAGAGGCACCTTGTCGAGCGGCGAGGAGTCCAGTACGGCTAAAAAGAAACCAGCAAAAACGACGGAAGCACCCGTCACCGAATAATCCAAGCCGAGAAGACCGAGAGGATACCGCCTATCATCCTTCAAAAGAAGGAGCAATTGACGGAGGTCAGCAGGACCTGACGAACCGAAAAAACAACTACACTAGAGCCAGGTTAACAGGTGAAGGCATCCGCTCCTGTGCAGGGAGACCCGTCGCACGCAACTAAAGCTATGGTTTGTTAGAGCTGTAGGCAACGCAAAGCAGACAGTAAGTTGTGCGCGTCGGACTTACGTTGGAATCTAGAACACAAGTAGATGCGTAGCTGGTTTGTTAGACTCTGCTTAAGTAGACTCACGGTAGGCAGAAAATTATGTGCGTCGTCGGTCGAAATCAAATTCGATTGGATTTCAACGCAGTCTTCAGTTGAGCTCATAGCGTACAGTGCTAAAAAGCCTTTATTTTTAACTAATTTTAAAATGGCAATCAAGTTTTCACCAGAGGAAGATGAGAAATTAATCGATCTCGTACGAGAACATCCCCCATTGTATACCGTCAATTCCAAACGTCTGTTAGAAAACATTCGATCTTCACTTTTATTTTGAGGACGACAACTAATTAAATTTAAAAGATCTTTTTCATGTTCTTTCTCAATAAGTATTGTCAGCAAAAAATGTTCAGCCAGATTCTGCTAACCGCGTATGTCGTATGCGACGCACACTTCTAACTAACCAAAGCTTAACAAAACACCCCCCTTTAAAACCGATAAAGTTGAACGCTACAGATTCTGCTAACCGCGTATGTCGTCTGCGACGCACAGTTCTAACAAACCAAAGCTTAAGACGNAGCTGTTAGCGCCCTCAAGTGGCAACATTCTCCGAAAGCCGTTAAGAGGCACCTTGTCGAGCGGCGAGGAGTCCAGTACGGCTAAAAAGAAACCAGCAAAAACGACGGAAGCACCCGTCACCGAATAATCCAAGCCGAGAAGACCGAGAGGATACCGCCTATCATCCTTCAAAAGAAGGAGCAATTGACGGAGGTCAGCAGGACCTGACGAACCGAAAAAACAACTACACTAGAGCCAGGTTAACAGGTGAAGGCATCCGCTCCTGTGCAGGGAGACCCGTCGCACGCAACTAAAGCTATGGTTTGTTAGAGCTGTAGGCAACGCAAAGCAGACAGTAAGTTGTGCGCGTCGGACTTACGTTGGAATCTAGAACACAAGTAGATGCGTAGCTGGTTTGTTAGACTCTGCTTAAGTAGACTCACGGTAGGCAGAAAATTATGTGCGTCGTCGGTCGAAATCAAATTCGATTGGATTTCAACGCAGTCTTCAGTTGAGCTCATAGCGTACAGTGCTAAAAAGCCTTTATTTTTAACTAATTTTAAAATGGCAATCAAGTTTTCACCAGAGGAAGATGAGAAATTAATCGATCTCGTACGAGAACATCCCCCATTGTATACCGTCAATTCCAAACGTCTGTTAGAAAACATTCGATCTTCACTTTTATTTTGAGGACGACAACTAATTAAATTTAAAAGATCTTTTTCATGTTCTTTCTCAATAAGTATTGTCAGCAAAAAATGTTCAGCCAGATTCTGCTAACCGCGTATGTCGTATGCGACGCACACTTCTAACAAACCAAAGCTTAACAAAACACCCCCCTTTAAAACCGATAAAGTTGAACGCTACAGATTCTGCTAACCGCGTATGTCGTCTGCGACGCACAGTTCTAACAAACCAAAGCTTAAGACGCACCTAGCCCGGGTGCAAACCGTCGGGAATATCGCCCTCCGTTGCGCAACGGTGACCTCTTGGTTTTTCCGCAACAGCGATAGTCGCCGGGATCTGGGGTTCACGCCAGCCAACCCTGGAAGAGATCAAACAGCGCTCGAGAAAGTTTTCATACAAGTTTCCCATAACAACCCGTTGATCTGAAACGTGGTGGACTACTGACCCGACGAGGCTGCCGATAAATGCAGGCGGCTTAGACGTGAGGCGTGAGTCAAAATTTTTCTGTCTCTTTCAGGACTGCCAAGATCACGAACTGAAGATGACGATATACATAACATCTCCTCCTTACCTTCCTTATCCCACTTTCCCCTCCCATGCCACTTAGTACAGCACTTCCTAACCTACATAGCTGCACGACCTCATCCAAACCCAGCACCCAGAACGCAGACGTCATCAGTCGTCCGCGACACACACATGATACCCCCGTTTACTTAGACGAGCCGGTGGAGAAAGAAGAACGCCAGAAGAGAGGGCCCTTGCGAGTGGGGCCTAGCCAGTACAAGAGAAGACCCCACGAACTGAACAAACCCGACCGCGTTGGCGGTCCAGCATGACGGGGAAAGAGTCTACTTCTACGAGTCGTCCGGGCCTATAGCGATGAAGTGACTAAAGACCGATAATCCCGCTCGACCCCGCTCCACTCGAGGTCATATATCCAGCCAAGGATATTGACGCACGCAAGCGGCCTTGCTTGCAGCAAAGCATCTGCATAGTACCACTGAAGTTGCCAGCAGTGTAGATTGGCGAAACGTTTGGAACGTGTCAGAGAACCACCATTGTCTGAAGAGCGGTTTCGTTCATAGCGGCTTTAGAACAGAAATGAACATCGGAACAGTTCTACAGATTCTGCTAGCGGGTCCGCTTCCACAGAGCTTAGTCCAAGAACGAAGAGGACAAGTCAAATGCTACTAGCTAATTCTCAGGAAGTGCAATAAAATTATGCAACTGGCGGCGATCAGGTACATATGCCACGGCATAATAACCCGGAGCGTACTTTAAACAGTCTTTTTGCTATTTATATTATTAGTTCAAAAAACTATTTTCAGGAAACTCAACTCGAATCTATCTATCTTTTTCCTTATTTTGAGGAATTCTTGTTTTCAGATGAAGTTTGATCCATGCAATTTGGAACACCCTGCAAAGATAAGTAACTATTTTGTTAATCAACAACGAGTAAAGAAAATAATTATAATCAAGCCAGAGATTCTAAAATTTTTTAAAAAATTAAATAGAACAATTTCTGCCAACAGTTTTTAACAAATCTGAGATAGTAGGTACTCACCTTATATAAAATAAACACAAGTAGAGCTAGAAGAATAATACCAAGTATTCCAGCTGCTATGTAAATCCACAAAGGTACAGGTTTGCTCTTTGAAGTATAAATCATTGTCGCTGCATGTCCCTCCACTCTGTAGATATGCAATAAATGGCCTTATAAAATTCATGAAATTTATATAGAAAAACTTACCTATGGGTATTGTTAAAAATATAAGCAGATGATACAAATGTCAGGATGTCCTTCTTCGCCAGTTCGTTTCGAAAGTGTGCCGCTGTAAACAAATTGATTAAACAATATTAAATATCAACTTTAGGGTATTTTTCATACATCGCAATTGGGCAGATACTTTATGTGCAAACATTTTCCTTAGGCCTGGTCAATATAACTATTTAAGATTTTGTAAGGAAAATTGTATTTCTAGTGAGAATTAGTGGCAATTACATGCATCCGAAAGAAGACAGAATTTGATGTGTGATGTGTGATGTGCTGTTAAAATTTCATGACATTTGTACGAACGAATAGAAGTTGACTTATTGCGTCCGAAGTGGCAGTTTGTCTGTATCATCGGTACAAAAATGAGCATCGAACAAAAAGTTAATAATATTAAGTTTTGTTTTAAACTTGGTAAATATTCGGCCAGAATATCTCACAGAAGGAAGTTAGCGTTTGTGACTGATTTTTTTTACTAAAAAATGCATTTTAACTGTCAATCACTCCCCGTATTCGCCTTGACGAAGATTTAAGTGCAGTTTAAAAATCGAACTATAACTCGATTATTTATTTGATGAAAAAAAGAATTTCAAATTAGTATTCAGGGCACCACGTACTATTACTTCTAAAAAACTGACCTACACTACTGACTTATATCGATGGCGAAAGATAAATCACGAAATTTCATCATGTTTTTAGTAAATTTATATTTTAATTTCATTTAGACTGTAATTTTACTTAAAATTGCGTGTAGTGAGTGCAGTGCTCTGCGTGAACTTAGCATAAATCATTTACATACCTAACAATTCCGTTCTCGTTGTTATTTTTACATTATATTCTGCTATTTCTGTGGGCTTGTACAAATAGTCCCCAACGCAGAACAGAACCAGACATTCCACGTCTTCTTCGAAACAATCGATCACTATGGTTCTATTTAATGGTTCAGTCAACAGTGTTGTGACATTATATGTTTTCTCCATCTTAAACGTTCTATTTGTGGGGCTACATTGAACCTCGATTCCATTTAAAGACCCCTGAAATATAGATCATTTAGCAAGCTTCCTCTGACGTTCTTAATCAATTTACCTTTGCATCGATATCAAAAATATCTATTTCGTCTCTTTTCACAATAGGCAAGACGAGGAAGACATCTAACTTGATGGGTGATGGTCCAGCATTACCAATTCTAAAGTTATGGGAAACTTCAACATCCGTTTCTAAGTTTTCGTCGGTAAAATAAAAGTTGGTTGGGCTGGAACTTCTAAAGAGAAAAAAGTTATTTACTTTTCTTACCCTTTAAAATACCACTTATTTATATATCGAGGATGTTAATATGCGTTTATAACCTATAGCCTGATAACATCGGGTGTCCCAAAATCTATGCAAAATTTGAATTTTACGCCAAGTGTTGCAACCAAAAAAAAAAAAGACAACGCGATAGCTGATAGTTCATGGTTATTAAAAATGGAGCGCTACACGAAAGAACAACGCGTTTTAATTGTTGAGCAATATTTTTTAAATAATGATGGTTTGGCAGCAACAGTTTGCAATTTTCGAATAAAATATGGTCGGAATAGTGATTAGACTTCATCAACGGTGAAGAGATTAATTGAAAAATTCAGGGAGAGTGGACCAATTAGTGATCTTAAACACTCTGGCCGGCCTTCAACACAAAACATCAAAGCAGTTCGTGAGACTGTCGCTGGGAGTCCAGGAACATCAACTCGAAACCGTGGTAAAAAATTGGACATTTCGAGAAGCTTTCTATAGCGTATTCTCACGAAATATTTGTATCTTCATGTTTACAAAGTTCAATTAACTCAAGAACTAAAGGCTATTGACCACCGAGAGCGAAGAGATTTCGTTGAATGGATTATGGAACAAGTTGATGCTGTTTTTTCCAACAAAATCATCTTCAGCGATTTTTCAGCTTGATGGTTTTGTTAATCGACAAAATTGTCGCGTTTAAGATTTAGAAAATCCAAGAGTGACTGTTGAGAAACAAATGCATCCACGTGTAACTGTTTGGTGCGGTAATCCAGTTTTTTGTACCTAAATTGCAAGATATGAATGTAGGCGACATGTGGTTTTAACAAGACGGTGCCACATGCCATACCGCCTGAGAAACAACTCAATTACTGTATGCGTCATTTCCTGTTCGTGTAATTTCCCGTTTCGGTGATCAGAATTTCCCGCCCAGATCATGAGATTTAACGCCATTGGACTTTTTTGTTTTGGAATTTTTTTAATGTTTATGCCAACAAGCCCACGACCACCCACGCATTGAAGGAGGAAATAGAGCGCTGCGCGCTGTATCAATGAAATTCAGTCGCATTTATACAAAACTGTCACGGAATATTTCAACAAATGAGTGCATATGAGCCAGTAAAATCATGGAGGCCATTTGTCCGATCCGCTATTCCACACATAACCCTATACTGCATACTTTATGAATGAATAAAAAAATTCACAATTTTTAATGAAATACCTAGTTTTCCATCAAAATTATTTCTTGCGTGAATTTTGAGACAACCTTTATATGACTTCATTTGATGACAATTTTAGGCACCTTTGCGAAACATATTTGAATTCGCTCAGTGCCTTTAAAGTAAAGTAAAAGTGTAAGAATTAATAATAAAAAATTGAAATAAAAAAACAATTCTTGCGGTTGCTTCAGCAAGAGACAACCCATCTCGGCAAACAGCTGTACTTTGGGACCAGATTACATAATTAATTCTTCAGCCCAAAGTGTACACTATTACGTAATCAACCTATCAACCCAGGTTTACAGATACTAAAAGATTTTTCACTTCAGTAATTTTACAAAAATGCATACAGGGTGTAAAAAAAGTATAACTGCCATAACTTCAGCATGAGATAGAGTAATCATAAATGAATAAAAAAGTTGTATATTACAGAAGCGTAAGATTAACAGTTTTCAAAATACAGTATTAATATTGGAGAATTTCATCACAACGTGACAACAGCGCTACATAGCTGATGCACATCACGTGTGCACGTGGGTGACTTGTCCTACGGAATAAATGTAAACAACTATTATTGTGAAACATTTAGTAAATTTCAAGACAATTGTTTTCCAGTTCTTAAATAAATAAAATAAAATGTATCGATTTTGTAGTAGGTACGAAGATAGTGTTGTGCTTAAATTTGAGCTCGAATTTTAGTAGTTATGAATCTCCTAAAACAGGAACTTAACTTTTAATCAAAGTATGATTTGAAAAATATGTAATTAAGTACCCAAAGATTCACGTCGTCCAAATATTCATACGTATTAAAAATAATTTAGGGACTTACCAAAAAAAATTAAGTAATTTTTAAACGCACAAGTATAAAACAAACTACAACATACTCATATGCTCAAAATATCCACCACCATTTTCGATGCACGCACGACACCTTCGAAACCAATTTTCGCGCACTCGCTGGAAAACACTTCAAGAAAAGGAAATAGTGGTACGCAAAAAACACAACGGTCGAATTCCAGATACCAACACCAACCGAATTGCCTATTGCTGGACAGCTTAGGACTTCGTGTTAACCGCCGCGCGGTTGTCGCATTGCTCGATATGAACTTTATAGAATTTTAAATTTATTACAAGTTGGAGATTTTGATAATTTTTTTCTCGGAAATGGTTAAGTTTAGGACCCATATCACATAAGGTTTTTTGATTTATTTTAATGTATTCTACCGTCTGTTAAAATTAAGTCAGTCAAACTTCTAACACCCTGTCTACTATAAATAAAAATAACCAATTGAATATTTGAATTTCTTCAGTAGAACAAGTTACCTTTGTTCTTAGAGAAATTCCAACAATCAGTCGCATACGCATTCCGATATAATGCTTACATAAGGTTCAGAATTCATTGTTTCGATTCAAATTCGATTGCGTCTTACTGTTGGGAATTGATTCTAATTGTTACCAAGCAATAAATATGAACAGTTTAGTGTTACACTTAAGGAATCGGGAAACACGATCATAAACTATATTTTAACGACCATCTTTGGAAATACGTATTATTCTTGGTCGTAAACAGATATAAATTTAGTCAGGTAAAGAGCATACCCCTGAATGTAAGGAGAATTTCTTGATATAATGTCCAACTCTAGCTCACTCTTGCTCGCATCGGCCGGCACATTCACCCCTAAGCATTTCAGCTCAAAATTGTATTTGACTCGATCTAGGCTAGGTTTAGTTAATTTTATATCAAATTTTAGTTGAATCTGAAACATAAGTTTAGTGAATTATAAAAAAACAATTAAAGATGTACATGATGCTAGGTAATTTGCACAAGTTACTAAAATCCTGTACTAAAGACGGGTATTTAAGTAGTAAAGTCCAGCACTCATTTTAATGAACAAAAAGGTTATGTACGATGTCAATAAATTAAACTAGTTACTAAAATATAGTGCTGGATTTTAATACTAGGACGGAGTCATCTCCGTTAAAGGGCGCGCTTTCAAAAGAAGCGTACTTCACAACATAATAACTTTTATTTCATGCGTATCATTCGCGGTTTAATTCTGTTCCTGTTCTATGTTGTTTTGGATTAATTTAAGGGTCTAGCATTCAGCTGATAAAGTGACTGAATAAGAAAAAAAGTACGTTGTTTAGAATGTTTTGGAATATATTATCTTTAATAATACCTGTTTTAACTTTCCTAAAAACCTGTGCACTCTTATGAGCACGTCGTGACTACATGCAATTGTTTACTTCATTTGAGTATATAGTGACAGTACTGTACAGGGAGATTCACTATATTTTGACCCCCCCTTTAACTTTTTTGTTTTAAGAGTTATAAAAAATGTGAAATATAAAAGTTGCACGAGATTTATGAATTTTTTGAAAATGATGGTAGAAAAACAAATGAAGTCCTAACAAAATGGCCGCGGATGTTCACTTTGTTAAGTTAAATGGAACACCCTGTATATGTTTACATATTTGGATAGAACGTTTTCTGTCGAGTATAGTATATGTCCGATATGTCAAAATATATTATAATATATTTTGACATATCGGACATTGATATGGTCCAAAATGCGTATAAGTATTTTAACTAAATCCCTCTCGTTAAGCCGTGAGATGCCTAATTACTAATGGACAATGTTATATGGTAGGCCGTGACAGTGACAGGTAATGTCATGACAACATTGTTATTGTTTGACAGTTTGTATTATTATTTAATTAAAATGGGTTACACAGAAGTAGAAAATTGAAATATTATAGGAATTAAAATAAAGCAAAGTTCTTCTCCATAGTCTATTTTAATTCTAAATAATTTTCTGCTTCTGTGTAACCTTTTTACCGTATCAATGTCCGATCTGTCAAAATATATTATAACTAAATCTGTAAATCCTTACGTAATTGGAAAAAAGGCAGAAATACCTGAGAGGTCTAACAATTACAATATGTCTTATTTTCTTAAAAAAAAAAACCTTCTTTTCGTGTTTTAATAGTATCTCGCTTATTGTTAGAGAGGGACCCAACAAACCCTACATGACAAAACTCGATAGGGAACGTTCTATCCAAATATGTAAAAATATACAGGGTATTCCATTTAACTTAACAAAGTTAACATCCGCGGCCATTTTGTTTGGACTTCATTTGTTTTTCTAAAATCATTTTCAAAAAATTCATAAAAAATCGTGCAACTTTTATATTTAACATTTTTTAAAAACCCTAAAAAAAAAAAAGTAAAAGGGGGGTCAAAATATAGTGAATCACCCTGTACAGGGTGTTCATTTTTTATTTATTTTTATTAATTAGTACCTATTTCAAAGAGTTTGCTCGCCTAAACACTTAAAATTTACAGTTAAAAAAGTTGCCAAATTGCAATAAGGTAAATCTCAGTAAATATCATACAAATTCTATATTGTATACTGATACATTTACTACTCTATATTATTATGCTTTATGCGACTGCATAAAATACGTTCACCAACAAATTTTGAGGTTTATAGGCTCTCAGTATCAAGGGAGCATCAAGATGCCTCGGGACTATAGCCTGGACTCACCTGCACGCGTGATCATGGATCCGTTGTCACCCACATGACCATCAACATCCTGTGTATCAGTGAAGCGACTTGACCCTCCATCAAGGTCGAAACGGATTGGATGTTGATGGTCGCGTGGTTACAACGGATCCGTGATCATAATGCATATGGATCCAGGCTTAGACCTGACAATTTAGGAAAATTTCAGGTAAGCAAAGTAATAACTATTTTTCACCGTTTTTGATACGTTCTCAAATCTGTTTGAAAAAGGACAAATATATGTGCTATTTTCCAAATTGCAATCCCTAGTATTTCTCAGTTCCAGTACGTTCGAAAAATTCATGTGCAGCTCACAAGCATATCCAGGCTCGCCAACGTTTTCAGCAGAAACGTTAACAGTTAGCTCTTTATTCAGTCCAAGTATTATATGTGGCCTGAAAATAAATATTCCTGGGTTAATCATTTCACTATCTTATTCACAAATCCATAATTAGTTCTTTTTTTGTAATAAATCACTTACAAATTACTTATGGTTTCTAAAAGAATTTGTGTTTGGCAGATGTTGTCACTCCCGCATCCATGAGAAAATGGGATAGACTTTTCTATTTTATTTTCTCCTTTGCCAATTATGCCTTTTTGGAAAATTTCCGATTTAAGCGTCAACTTGAACGGTGTTATGTCTAATGGCGATTTCTAAAACATAGGAATACATATACTAAGTACAAGAGCAATACAAATAAGTTTGCGTTTCTAACCCAAGCAGATCTCGAGATTAAGAAAGAACACATTCGACTAGAAGGCGTAGGCGTGGCCTTTTTCTTGTCGTGTCCATTGCGCATTGTGGGCGAAGCTACCTCAGACGCAAACTTATTTGTGACAGTCTGTAGCTTTAGTATCTTGAAATTTTCAAATTATTTTCTCTTTGTGTTTCATGTTTGTATGTGTATGGTTGAAACAATAAAATGCCATAATGGTTTGTTACAATCCCTTCAATCGAGCAAAAGTAATACTCATTTCGACAATTAATACATTCATATCGCAGTGTTGCACAAATAGTAGCTAGGTATACAGGCTTACGGTGACAGCCCATTAGAATATTTCAAAGACTACTTCAATTTCAATTTTGAAAATTTAGGCTTCGGAGTTTTCGGTGGTGCTGTTTTTAAATTAAATAATGCTTTCCGGTTATAACGGAAGTCACCATCTACTTGCTTATTTCAAATGAAACACTCTGTATATTTTTGCATATTTGGATTCTATGCGTAATTTTTGAGGGATTTTTATCAAGCTTCCCTATATTTCGAGATTTTTCGATAGCCTAATTCAAAAATGCCAATTTTTTACATCGAGCAAGCTGAAGTATTGTTATTTGAAAGAGATATATGGGGTTGCGTAGCCTTTGTTACAGTTAATTTAAAAACTGTCTAATTTTATACAGGGTGATGAAAATTTATTGTCGAATCTGCTTAACTTTGAACCGCCAAAACTTGTTCTTCTAAATGGTTGGCTTTTAAATTATTTTTCTGTTATTAACGGTTTTTGTGATAAGTAATTAAAATGATCCAATCTCATGCGATGGCTGTGAAATTGTCAGCAAACTTAAAAACAAAACAACTAATATGCCATAAGTCATGTCATTTCTTACATAAAGTATGAATGGTGTTTAAAAGAATTACCTTGATTATGTAGAGATCAAACGCGACAATAACCATTATACTGTGAGCGGCAAAAGTATGGAACATATTTATTTAAAAATAAGATGTTCGTTATTTGAAAAATCGCTCGGACCCGCCGAATTGTATTTTTAGTTGCGCAGTTTTCATTTATACAGAGTGGCCCAAAAAAAGTTGTGATCTAGGCCAACTTTTTTAAATGGAAACCCCACTTTTTTGTATTTTTATTCAATTCTCTATGGAATTCTGATCATTTTTTATGTAACATAACCTATACCTATCTTTAACCGTTTTCGAGATAATGGCGTCTGAATATAGAATATGGAAAATTTTTAAAAATTACTCTCGATATGTAAGGACTTTAATGTCAAAGTCAGTGGAAACTGGTGTACCTTCTGCTAAATACATTATGTGTTTTTCAAATATTTAAGCACAGCTAATGAATTTAATTGTTAATTTTAATTTGTTTGGTACAAACTGACAAAGCCAGAACACAGCAAGAATAATGTGAAATATTTAATAACAAATATCCAAATCATACAATCATTCCAAGCTACTGTAGGAAAAATTTGCAAAAAATTCAAACAAACAGAGTTAAATTAAATGTTCAAATTGCCATCCATTGGTTTCTTGACAATACCCAAGCCTATGTACAAACTCATCTTGAACATTATTTAGTACATTTCTGTCAATATTCCTAATTTCCTGCCTGATTCATGTCTTTAAGTCCTCGATGTTTTGCGGTGGATTTACATAAAGTTTGGATTTTAAATAATCCCATAAGAAGTAATCCAAAGGAGTGAGATCGGGTGATCTGGGAGGCCACTCTGTTGGTCCCCGTCTTCCAATGCAACGCCCAGGAAAACATTCGTCTAAATAACCTCGGACTTGCCAAGCAAAATGAGGTGGTGCGCCATTCTGTTGAAAATACAAGGTATCGCTTGGCAATTAGATCAAACGGAAAGAAGGCCAAATATCTTTCTCCCATGAGGTTTTCTTCGAAGAAAAAAGGGCCCAGAAACTGATCATTAATAATGCCTGCCCACATATTCAATTTCTGTGGATACTGAGTATGTGCCTCATCCAATGAGGATTGTTTTGACTCCAATACCTGCAGTTTTGGCGGTTAACAATGCCATTCAAACAGAAAGTTGCCTCGTCTGAGAAAAAGATTTGCCGATGAAACTGTGGGTTGCGGTCGGATAATGTTGAAATGGTTTCACAAAATTGGATGCGGCGATCAGGATCATCTTCGTTGAGTTCTTATACTAAATGAATTTTGTGCGGGTGATATTTCTCTTTCTTCAAAATACGCAAAACTGATCTTTGGAAAATTGCATTTCCCCAAGCAATATCTCTGCTCGAGGTATAAGGATTTTCTTGCAACTGCAATAAGATATTTAATGACCTCGTCTATTTTCATATGTCCTGTTTTGGGGATATCTTTTATCTGACCAAAATCTCGAAATTTCTTGGCAATTTTGCTTACAGTGGCTTGTTTGATTGGATGATCTGGATACTTATTATTGAATATATCACACACTTCTTGTTGTGTTCTGGCTTTGTCACCGTGTCCCAAATAAATTAGAATTTCTATCCGCTGCGTTTCTGTTAGATGCGGCATCTAGTTAAGTAATTGCACTCTCCTAAATAATAAAAAAATAGTAGTAGTGAACAAGGTACATCAGTTTCAACTGACTTTAACGTTACCTATTTAATATTTAGTTGCTTGACGACGGCTACAATGCGTGTTTTCTGGAGTTTTTTAAGTTATTTATTCTTCACAAAAAAATATGAAACGGTGCTAAAAATTTGCAAAATAACCTGGCTCGTAATTTAAATAGTGACATTTAACAAAATCATATTTTATACAATAAAATTATGCGTTTTTAATTAAATTATACCTAAACACCTCACTTATATTTTTTACATTCAAGTCATTGCGTCCTAATGATCAAAATAAATCACCGGACCACTTATTTCTTATGGATTTTTCTGATTTGAAGCAACTTTCTGTGAACCACACAAATCTAAGATGGAAAAGTAAACGTGATTTTATTTTAAAACCAGCATGGTAAATCTCAGGGTAATTTTTGAAAATTTTCCATATTCTATATTCAGACGCCATTATCTCGAAAACGGTTAAAGATAGGTATAGGTTATGATACATAAAAAATGATCAGAATTCTATGGAGAATAGAATAAAAATACAAAATAGTGGAGTTTCCATTTAAAAAAGTTAGCCTTGATTTAATAACTTTTTTTTAGCCATCCTATATAAAAGAAAATTGCCTCAGAAAATACGCAACTAAAAATATAATTCGACGGATACGAGCGACTTTTCAAATAACGAACATCTGATTTTTAAATAAATATATTCCATACTTTTGCCGCTCACGGTATGTACCTAATGTGTCAAAGAAGCGTTATCTGCTTTTATAAATGTAATTTTCCTTATTTCTCTCTATGTATGTTTTGAACAAAAAAATGAATGACGTGAGATGTTTATGCTCCAACGGCTCTGGAAATGTGGTAATTATTAGAAAAAACAAGTCGTTGCATTTCAATGACAATATACGCCTTCATTTCGTCAGTCTCGTTAGTGACGTCACAACATGCGCGTAAGTACACCATACCATATTCACACCACGATTTATACAGGGTGTTTCGCATAAGAACAGACACAGAGCATGACCATGTAGGTTAACCCAAAATATGATGATTTAACGCAACTTACTATACTAACTTGCACCCCTGAGACGTTATAGGCCTTGAAAGTAGGGTTTCAAATTTTAAAAAAAAATCAATATCTTAGTTATATTTGAACTTAAAAAAAACAAATTTGGTACAAGGTGTGAATGTACCAAGAGCATCAATCGAAGATAAGTAGAGTCCAATTGAAGCATTTTAAAGGGTTGGTGTGTTTTGAAATTCACCGCGAAGTTTTCATTTAGCGAACAAGTTGACATTAGTGTTACAATACGGAGAAGATTTCCAAATTCTATAATCCTCCATAGAGAAACATTTTCCAATGTTGAAAGACGGGCTCGAGAAGCAGGCAAGTTTTTCAGTAACACTCGAATACGTATTATTGCAATCAGGGGACAAGACGAAGAACTTATTTTGAACACAATTGAAGATGATCCACATATTAGTACTAGAATTCTATCTCGACAAACTGGTGTATCGCAAACTTCTGTGCACCGAATGTTCAGACGTAATCTACTACACCCATATCAAATCCAAAAAGTGCAAGAATTGTTACCGAATGATTTGGTTAAACGAGTGAATTTCTGTCAGTAGGTATATTTTACATCAAGGCATTAATTTTCAAAAGAAAATTCTCTTTACTGATGAAAGATTGTTTCACCCCTAAAGGTATTACAAATTTACACAACTATCATGATTATTCCGATGTAAACCCTCATCCAGTAATTCATCGACATTTCCAACGTGAGTTTAAAATAAATGTTTGGATCGGTGTTATTGATCAGTATTTAATTGGTTTAGTTATTTTACCGAATCGACTAAATGGCGAAACTTATTTAGAATTTCAAAAACAGTCTCCCGGATCTACTTGACGAGGTACCACTACAACTCAAGACTGGAACATTGGTTTATAATAGTCATTGGAGCTTTTCACCTCCAAATTCTTTGAAACTGAACCGATCGACTTGAAAGAATTTGGCAGATAGTTACAGAAAAGGTCAATGGACATTAGTGACATAGCGCCGATTGACGCTTCCACCGTGTTGGGGGTTGACCCTTCTCGGGGGTGGATTTTTTTTCAAAAATTACGCTGGAAATCGATAGAGAATCAAATTTTGGGCAAAAAATATTCAAAGAATTTCTTCGAGAAATCAATAGTTATTCACGATGGAAAACTTGAATTTTGAGTGAATAAAAACACTTTTTCAAAGAATTTTTTGCGAATAACTCAGAAACTACGCATTTTATTAAAACAAGTGTAATGAACAAAATGTAGCTTACAAATAAACAAAGAAAATCGTTTTTTAAAAAGTGTTGTACGTCCTATACGAAGCGAAATATGGTTAGTGGAAGGAGACTAGTTTTGGGGGGAATATTCGAATCGATGTATTCAACGTCACATAACGGAAAAAGGATTAATTTTACGTGTATAACGCTCCGGGAGTTTTTTGTAGTACTCAAAAAGACCTTTGAAATGAGCACTTATGAAAGTTAATTAGAGCAAAATTGAAGGAGTTATCGTAAAAACAGATGGGTTGCTCATATTTTTTAAGGAAAAATGAGCAGTAAACGCTGTACCATTTCCATCAGAATTAAAATTAATGGTAGACCCTTTACAATTAGTTTTGTTTTAGTGTTTTTCATACGATCCTGAAGTTAGACCGGTTTAGAATGCGTATTTTTTTAATAATGTACGGTAAAAGTTGAAAACGTATTTTTCATTATTCAAAAAAAATTGCCTTATTTATATAATAACTCTGAAACTATGAAAGATACGTAAAAAATGATAGACAACAAAAATGTAGCTTTTTTTTCAACAAATATTTTGCTTTTTTTTATTCCTATAGCATAAAAAATAAAGGAGATATCGCCGCTTGAAGTATCCATTTTAGTGAAAAAACGACCTGTCTCGAGCCCTTCGATCCTTTCCCTTTAAAAAACGAAGGACTTAAAAGGTTTTATATGCAAACGATCTTACAGCTCTTGAAATTATCTTTAAAATGCTTTTTTGTAGGATACTATAGCTTCAAAATTAACCGAGTTATGGTAAAAAAACCAATGACATTTTTTCGGAGCAAAATAGGCTTTCTCATTTTTATATATTATATATTATATTATACAAATAAAATAAGTAAAAAAATTTAGTGTGATTATTTATTTGCAGCGTAGCAATTTTTTTTATGATTGATTATATTTAAAAATCGATTATAATAAAAATATTTTACATTAATATTGGTAAAAGGGTAGTTTATAAGAGTTGAAAATGGCAAAAGTACAATATTCTTTCATAAACAATATAAGGGAATTTTTATATTAAATTATTGCACAATTATAGCATTCCAAGATTTAAAACGTAATTTGTTATAATTTTTTTAGCACTGGGGTGATTCTATTGTTTGTTTGTCTATTAAATTATTATTATTCCAACTTTTTTTCTGATCAAGTTTGACGTTTTTGAATTTACGATAATTTTAAATAACACAGCTATAGAGCCTTCATAAATGTTTACAAGCCACGTGACCGCCGAGCTTAGGCAACCCAACATTGCACAATTAATGAAAATTCCCTAGATATTGGCGTCACCAATNTTTTTTCTGATCAAGTTTGACGTTTTTGAATTTACGATAATTTTAAATAACACAGCTATAGAGCCTTCATAAATGTTTACAAGCCACGTGACCGCCGAGCTTAGGCAACCCAACATTGCACAATTAATGAAAATTCCCTAGATATTGGCGTCACCAATATTAATGAAATTTTCATTTTCAAGGCCTATAACTTATCAGGGGTGCAGCTTAGTATAAAGGTAAGTTGCGTTGCCATATTTTGGGTTCCCCTAAATGCCTCGTCTGCTCTATGTCGTTTCTTATGTGAAATACCCTGTATACTATTATAGTTACCGATGTGATGTCCACTTAGTATTTAATCTAACTAACTACTTACCTGCACCGTAACAATAAGAAACTTGCAAAAAGTTTTGGATATCTCTGCATTAAAATTATAAGTAAAATGTGATTTGCCAGGCACCCTATAATCAAGTTGTAACTCGATTCCAAACTGGAGCGTCTTCAAGTTCTTTGTGGGACTCCTTTGAGTGTAATATACGCAAAACGTAACGTTCATGTCGCTGCTGGATATCGATGTCACATTGGGCTCTAAGGTTAGTCTGTAATCTACTACACTGAGTGTTCTTATTAAAAATACACGATTGCTTTTGTAAGCTCCAATAGCGATATCTGAAACAGATACAAAGAAAATGAACATAACCTTTGTTAGCAATATTATGACATAACATCAATTCAAGTTATGCGTTCAATATATCTCAACAGGTTAGGATTGAAACTCTAGATTCTGAGATTTCGTGTAAACAGAATATGAATGTATAGGGTGGTTGATTTTCGAGAGTTTTATAGGGTACAGCCAAAAAGGTGATAGATACAAAAAGTATAATATCGACGTCCGGTCTTCTTTTTTTTTTTTATTTTACTTCGCTGGTATCATAAAATCTTTTTAAGAGCTACATTATCGTGTCATCCATATTATAATAGTTAACAAAGTGTTAGTAGGCACTGAATTTGTAGGTTGACTGTAATTTCAGTATGATTTTTAACTTATTGTACTTGACAGTTCTTATTGAGTGTTTACGACGATGAGATATACCACCTGTTACTTAATTTTTCAATATGGACACACATACGACGAATTAGAATTATTTACAACGTGCCTAATTTTATTTAAAAAAATTAGAAAAAACAGTCAAATACACGCAATGATAGCATTATTATTGACCATCAACCTGTTATTAATTAATTACAATAGATTGAATGGCGAAGTTTGTTTAGAATTTTTGCAAAACACTTTACCGGAGTTATTGGAAAGTGTGTCGTTATTGCTGAGAGCTAACACATGATTTATGCATGATGGAGCTCTACCACATTTCACTGTCAACGTCCGGCAGTATCTGAACCAAAGTTTTCCTCGTCGATGGATCGGTAGAGGGGATAATGTTCCTGTTAACTGGCCTGTTCATTCACCAGACTTAATACCTTACGACTATTATCGTTGTTATTTCAACATTTTTTATTGTATTTGATTGTTTTTACTAATTATCTCAATAAAATTAGGCATGTTGTAAATAATTCGTCGTATGTGTGTGTGTATCCATATCGAAGTAACGTGGTATATCTTATAGTAATAAACACTCATTAAGAACTGGCAGGTACAATGACTTAAAGATCAAACTAAAATTACAGTCAACCTTCAAAATCAGTGCCTACTAGCACTGTTAAGTATTGTAATATAGGTGGCAAGATAATGTAGACATTTGAAAAATATTTTTTTGTACCCAAACCGCTCATTTAATCACAATTCTACAAGAGGCCCAAAAACAAAATGGTATCACCTATCAAATAAAAAATAGTTGTTATTATTGCCCGAAAGAAGAAAAAGTTATGAACGGATATTATCACCATACATCAATTTTGTAGGAGTTGTAAGTTTTAAAAAACACTCTGTATAACATCAAAATGTGTAGATTGAAAGCAAAATACACCAAAAATAATTAAAATCGAATATTACGTATTCGAGTTATTCACAAAATTCAAAAAATTTTCACGAACTTTGAGGCCATCTAGCGGCCAAATAAAGCGACTTCGGATATAGGTGAATTAGCCTAAATCTGACTATTTTGAGTCCACGAATCTATGGTCTTCCGTTGTACACGTTATTCTGGGACACCCTGTATATATATGGCTGAAAAGATTTAAAAAATCTATTCAACGGGATAGCCAAATACGGGGTTCCTCATAAAAAATAGAACAAATATGTTCAAAAAAAACAAATTCAAATGTTCAAACTTTTTTCTTCTAAATTTAATGACAACGGAGATAGAGAGGTTAATGTAAATGGACGATTTTGCAAAAATACCCTGTATACCTAAAACTAATCAAGTTTGCCAAGATCTTTTGGTACCAGTGAAGTAAACTGGAAAGATGAGGATGGGACATCGATATCAGATTTTTTATATCCATCACCGTTTTGGCTGTACCCTATAAAACTGTCGAAAATCAACCACCGTGTACACGCAGTGTTTATTTAGTTATTCCTTTTTCTTTCATACTTGGTAAAAAAAATTTTTGGATAGGAATGAGACTAGTAACGTATTTGTATGGTGTTTTATATAATAGCATATTTTTCAGTAAAAGACCATGAATTTTTTTAAAGTCTATTTGAGTTCTCTATAAAACCGAAAACCGTAATCATTTGACTTCAAATGCCGCATTGCTAAGTTATAATTTTTTAATGCACTAATGACTGTTGTTAATTTTAAGTTTAAATGTCTGCTTACTTATCTACTGTGTAGGTTAGAACAAAAATATTTTGTACATGGTGCCTAAATTATTTTCTGATATCTCCAAATGGTTTATTTTCAATTTGTTTTTAATGGAACACCTTATATTTTGTGATATATCAGGTGTCTGTCTCAGTTGTATTGTTCCATTACTTAAAAAAGCATAAATTTGACATTTGAAGCATTTGATATATACCTACTACCTAAATTGAGTGTTGTGGTTCTATAAAAAATGCATTGTTGAGGTATCTAAGTAACAGTACAGTGTTTTTATTAGATAGCTCTGAATTGAATTGAGGAAAAAGTAGAGTTGTACTTGACAACGAAAATAAAAAGATTAAACTTCACATTGAGCATAATTTCCCCTATATTATAATAAAAAACAAGAAGATACAGTCCATTCACGTCTCTTATGGTGAACAGTTAAGCTGCATCATAAGATTGAGTCTAATATTAAAATGCCTTCACTTCCGGTTTATGACCGTAACTTTTTTATTTTACTGAATATTTTTCTTAAAATTTGATTTCTACAAAAAAAATCCCTTTTTCGTGAAGTATTACACTTTGTATGAACTGAAATGCATTTAAATGTTTCCAAAATTGGGATTATTGAAAATTATGAAAAAAGTGCATTATTTAGATTTAAATTTCAAAGTAGCAAATATACAATTTGAAAAATTTGTATATTCAAGTTCTCTGTAAAAAATTATTTACAGATATTTTATGAAATAATACAAAAATAACGTTAAATGAATTCCAAAAAGATATACCTATTAATTTTATTTATACAAGAACGGTATTAATGATTCTTTGTCATGACGCCAAAGACAATCATGAGCGACAGAAAAGATGATAGAGAAAATATTCAAAATGTAGTCCATTTGATTCAATGCAACACTCGGCCCGATGTAAAAGTTCACGAGAGGTAAAACTTTTTAATAATTCGGCATTTTTAAATCTTCCAAATCTGCAGGAGGCATCTGGTATATCCTTCAGATATCCCCATAAAAAATAATCTAACGATGTTAGATTGGGTGTTCTTGCATTCCATCTTATTGGTCCATATGTGCCGATCCACTTGTCAGGGAAATTTTGATTTAAATAAGCAACTACAATTCTAGAATTATGAGGGGTGCCCCATTATGATGAAAATACATGATAGCACGTATATTCAGCGGAACATTTTCAAGAAAACCTGGAAATTCGCTCTGAAGGAATACTAAATATGCCACAACAGTTAATGTTCCTTCATAAAACTTTGATCCGATAATGTACCCATTGATCATGCCGCACCATACATTTATTCCCCAAATTCTTTGAAAATTAGTCTCTCTACAGACCAATAACGGCAATTGTGTCGACTGACAGTTCTACTATTATGAAAACAGCTTTTATCTGACCATAATATTGAGTTAATAATGCCTTCTTCACGAGAAGTTGGATTTTGAAAGGTCTGAATTTGCCGGATCTTAGGATTCGTTGAATAGACTGCGCGTCGTAAGACAAAAACTCAAGAGAGCTCTTATCTTTCGATTTGAACGGAGATTTAAAAAATAATTTGACGCATTTTTTTTTCTTTAAAAATATTAAAGTCAGTGCTCGTATGCACGCCACTGTTAGTGATAGAAGCTATGTTTGTATTGAAAAACATGCGCCTTTATTAATTATCATTACGTACTAAATATCACTGAAATATCTCAAACGGTTTCGATAATATAAATTAATTTTCCTTCTTTTTCCTAAAATTTTAACACCCCATGTTTTCGCAACGGAAAATTTTTGGATCATAGTTCATAAAGCAAACTATCATTAATTTTTCATCTAGAATCACACACAAGACGAAGCCGCTGGATGGATACATTGCATATTTTTAAGTAGTTTTTAAGTTGGGCTTGAAATTTTTCGAAATGCAGAGAATTTGCAGAAATTTTACAGATTTTAACGTTAACTAAAATTCTTACCATTGTGACCGTTGCCATCTACGTCGACGCCTTTAGAGAGTCCTTGACCAAAACCTTTGGTACTTCGAGAATATCCAGGGAAATTCAAAGGCGACAATCTCTGACTATAAGTTGTTTGTACGCCCGTCTTGCTGCCCATATATATGTATACAGCCCCAACACCATCATCCTCATAAGGTGCAGCAATTGCAATGTCTAAAATATTTGTAATAAACTTTTTAATTAACATGAAGACACACTTAATGTTCTTCGCTTTGTTTATTGCCGCACCTATGTTCATTTTATGACGTGCAATATCAACTTTGCGAAATAAGTATACAAAATCATAGCGATTTGGTAAAAAAAGTTTCCGAAATATCAAAAAGTAGCTAAACCTCTCGGAAATTGTTTACCCATTGACAACTGTCACAGAATATCCAAAACCAAGCTAAAACGATTTTTTCGTAATTGAAAAGAGTTCCTTACCGTTATATGAATCAAGATCAATGTCACCTAAAGACATGATTGAGGTCCCAAATCTTGCGCCCGCTTTTCTGTTGCCAACAAGTTTTACTGGGTTTGCCATTTTCTGAAAACAAGTGATTTACGTAGGTATAAGCCCTTATTATAAGAGATTGGTGTTACAAATTTAAACAGTGATTTTTCTCATCAAAATAAATAAAACGATAAACATTTGCTTCTAAAACAATTTGTGCCTTACGTTCCTCCATTAAAAAAAAAATTAAAACAATGTTAGGAAAATCGCCATCAAAGAATCATAGATGAAGCTTATTTATTACCTCAATTTTTTAAAAAAGTTAACCGCATGGTTATGCAAATGTTCTAACCAATTTCAGTACAGCGAAATTGTGCAAAATATGCCGATTTTCATATACAGGGTGTTCCAATTAAAACTTTCCACCTGGAAAATATTGGAATTAAAAAAAAACAAAAAAACTGAGACACGTCGATTTTCTTTTCACACATGAGGGACAGTAAAATACCCTTAAACTTTAAATGCAATCCTATGTTGAGTGACACCTCATTTTAAAGTTTTTTCAATTCTGCTAACCACGACATACAATTTTGTAAATTTTGTTTTGGATATGACAATAATATCATCACTTAAAGAACGAGACAAAATATATCAATAAATGAAAGAATGTTATTTTATTAAATGTTCAAATTGGTTTCCCTCCGCTTCCATACAATAACAAAATTTTTGCTCCACTTCCGAACGAACATTTCGAAGCATTTCGGGCGTTGTCTGACATTCTTCAATAATTTCTCGATAAAAAAATTTGTTGTGATTTTTCGTTTATCTGTCAATACAAAAACTTTATACTCTATCAGTTCAACTTTTTTTACCTATTTTACTTTAAACCAGACAATATTGTTTCGTCTTGTCTTGTCGAGACAATATCCCGTAAAATCGTCACAAAGTCGATTGAATTCCAATTCATGATACCGATTTATACAATTGCTAAAAAAATGGAAATAATTAGTTCTACAAGTATAATGACTGTGCACGGCAGGCAACACAGATTTTTAATGATCATCATCTTGACAAAAACACTTCGCATATGTAGGTACGTCCTGGATTTAGTGCATAAATTTTCGGACCCGGATCGGTTGCAAACAGAAAACATCCTCTTGAATAGTACGGAATGTAGTACTGGTACCGGTAGTACGTAATGAGGATAATCAGGTATAGTTCTTTTCATACTTATAGTAGACATAAAAAATGTCAAAGCCTGCCGGTAAGTGTGATAAGGGGAGAGTAGGGCAAGACAATTTTTAAATGTCCGTAGAAAATAAATGTTATAACAGCTAGTTTATTTCACAAATCATAATGCTCTTATCAGGTACACACATCTATATAAATTGAATACTAAATTAATGGGAAATAAAATAATTACATATCTTGTCAGGTATTCAATTTAAAGGTTGCTCCGCTTTACCCTAGGTGGGTGGGATGTTGAATCGCCGGACCTAGACCCTGTGTTGCCGATATGTAAAAATATTCCCCAAATGAATAATAATTGATAAATTGAATGAAATTAATTTATTCAGATATTTACGTTTAAAATATTAAGTTATGTTCTGAAAATATAAGAATAGGCTGAATTTGCATACATTTATTTAAAGAATAATTGCATTATTCACTTCATTCTTGAAATGTATATTGTTCATTTTTAGTAGAATACTAACTCGCCGAAACATTTGGCAACACAGCTAGGCTGGCAACAAAACAGATTCTGAACATCTCTCTAAGACGTACGTTGTTCTCAGATTCCTAATGTGAGACAGAGACAATCAACAATTAGATACTGTGAACTTATTGCTTTAAATGTCTGATAGTTCAGTTTGCGCGGTACAGGGCAGGAGTTGGTGCTGCAATGCTGTCATTCTTATTTCTTAGAGTAGTGTTTTGAGTACTGATTTTTGTGTTATTACAAGTTTTTTATTGGATAACTCTTATATTTCACTGCAATTATTTTCAATTTATAGCCATTGTGTAGTAGTGTATGTTGTGAATTGTTTGAAGGGAGACTTAAATATTATATTCTGTAAACTTTGCCTAAATACGACCCTGTTCTGCTAGGCAGACAAGTATTTACAACCCCGTTTTTGTCGTTATCGGCAATATAAAAGAGTTTTTTATTTCTACAATATATATGAAAAGAACTATAATATAGCTGTCCTGGATCACATTGCAATGGAACCAAATTTGAGTTTCAGGAAACTTCAGGAAATACTTCAGGAATTTCTGTACCTAGTTGCCACCGAATTTTAAAAATTAATCAGTCAAGTATCACCCATACAAAATTAATTTGGTACAAGAAATTAATGAATCCAGATCGTCGCTTGCAGTTCCGTGAAGAAATCCAAATTTTTTCTACTCAATTTGTTTTTCCGATGAATAGTCGAGTCAACCGCCATAATGCCGCTACTGGATTGATTAAAATCCAAGCATTTTTCATGAAACTCATACGCATCCGAGGAAATTGAAAGTTTGGACGGGCAAATTGGAGACCACCTCATAGGGTCCTCCTCTTATCGGGAAATCTGGATGAAAACATGTATCAGAATCTACTGAAAACGAATATCTATACTCCAACACATTATGCCGTAGCTGTGGGTGATTTTCTTAATCAGAACTTTCCAAATCACTGGATAGGACGCAGAGGTTCAATTGAGTGGCCTCTCAGATCGCCAGATCTAACGCCTTTAGACTTTTTTCTATGGGGACAATAAAAGTCGAAAATTTATGCGACCGAACTCACTTGAAGAGCTTGGTCAGCGAATTGTTGAAAAATGTCTTCAGATAGTGTCCGAAATTCTTCGAAATGTTCTTTCGGAAGTGGAGCATAGATTTTATTATTGTATGGATGTGGGGGACACCAGTTTGAACATTTAATAAAATAACATTCCTTCATTCATTGATATTTTGTCTTATTCTTTAAGTGATGATTTTATTGTCAGATCCCAAAAAAAGTCGTATTATGTAACGTCCTCATAATACATTTAGTTATTTATTGTACCTTTTTTGATAAACGATCAAGGATAAAAAGTTTGGTTATAAATACTATTTCCAAATCTGTACGTATAAGATTATCTCATTAGTTTTTTTGGCAGCTGAAATATCTCAAATCCTTCTTATTCCAACGCGACAGTTAGATTGTATCCAAATTTTATAACTACTACGAAATAAGTGCCTTGTACAAGTTTGAAATGTTAAATCTAAAACTAAATAACTGTGTTTAGATTCCTATTTTTGAAGAATTTTAAAGCTTTCAGGAATGGCTACAAAAAAAGTATTGCTCTTACTTCTTTTCTTTGGTTTTGTTTTTATTTTGACGAAGTGAAAGTATTTTGAACATTGCTGTGTTTTCCTTATTCTGTTTAGTGTACAAACTGGTTCATAATTCTCTTTCATGGCTATTTACGTCTTTATTATTAACATATTATTATATTATTAATATTATTATATAGAATATACATTAAGATTGAATGGGACAATATGTAAACAATACTGTAGAATTATAATAACAATCAGAAAAACAATCCAACGTCAATTTAAAAGATATTGGCGAAAAAACGATTTTTTATGAAAATTAATTTTGTATTTTTAATAGAAAATAATATTGTGTAAAGAATACACGACTACTAAGACATCATATAGATATTAGATATCTAATATACAGGGTGTTTCTAAAATAGGGTTTCAAACTGCTGCGTTTATAACTCATTAAAATAAGACAAAAAGTTCCTATTAACATGTGCCCTAAAACGCACCCTTAGGAAGTTATATGCCCTTAAAAGGGCTCAAACAAAACCTTAAATTTTCCACTCACCACTTTTACTAATTAAACAGTGCAAAGCTCAATTGACAGTTTATCAAGCGTTATGGCAACGTCAGTCTTTTATTTGCCATGGTAAACAGATTTTTGTAATTTTTGGCCTAATAACTTATAGAGCAGAGTAATTTTCAAACTCAATTTACTCGAAAACCATTGGAAATATCGATTTGGACAAAGACAATATTTTTTACGTAAAATTGTTAAGATTTTATAAATCTGTAGAGAAAATTGTAAAAATATTGAAATAAAAAAAATTACGCGCCGAAAACCCCCTTTACCAACCTAAATGGGACGCATATGATTTGCATGTCGAAAAACGGAGTAGCCCATGTTATTTAACGTAAAAAGTTATGTAAGACCCATAATTTTTTCTCTATTTATTTGCGACCGTTTTGTCAATAACAGAAAAAAACAGTTTTGTTTGAGCCCTTTTAAGGGCATATAACTTCCTAAGGGTGCGTTTTAGGGCACATGTTAATAGGTACTTTTTGGCTTATTTTAATGAGTTATAAACGCAGCAGAAGTTTGGAATCCTATTTTAGAAACACCCTGTATAATTTACATCATAAATATTAGATGTCTTCTTAGGCCGTTTTCACACTGCAATAAATAGAATCTGAAAGTCTATTTTTTAATCAAATAAATAGTCGAATTATATATAATTAGTTTTTTAAACTGTAATTTATTTATTGTGCACCGAAGTTAGCATATTAAGTTGTATTCCCGCACTAACAGCGTTGCTAGTTGTTTTTAAATCAACCTATATTGTGCTGAGAGAATAAATTTTTAAAAATCGTATCAAATGTTCTTTGATAGTGATTGTCCTAGTTGATCGAATCGAAATTCTATAGATAATCCACGTAAAAATTATACTGAACTGTTTTGTTCTGCATTTTCAAAGGAAATGAAATAAAAAATACATCTATTTGCATACATCTAAGGATATCATAATTTTGAATGAAGTAAAATTTGTTTTGCTTTGCTTAAATTATAAGCAAACACACGTGGTCTTGTTGCAAAATAATATAGCTTTTTTTTCTGATAATATATCTTGTGTAGATATATGTGTATTATCACTAGCCACAAAGATATTACTTATTTATTTCTAGGTTAACGATATCAATTTAAGTATTTTCCTTTCCTTCTTGATAAAAACAAAAATAACCTTCCCAAAAATGATAAAAAATTGTCGTTCTGCGTCATTTTTCTATTTTTGGATGATTAACAATACACAGTGTTATCATTCCTCAATAAAAGAATAAGTATACTGGTTAGTTAAATGTAGCTAGTTTTCGATATATTTTTAAACTTCTGTATATCAGTATCAATATTGACTACACCTTTTCAAGATATATTTCAGAAGGCGTTAATTATATTTCAGATTTATCAATTGTATTTCAGAAAACATTATGCGAATGTTATTCACAATAGTCATATATTTCAGAAATTGTCAGTTTCGAAAACTATCAAATGCATTTCAAAATAAATAAAATGATTTGAAAAATAAACTGAATGTTGTATTATTGGCATAAACCTAAAGAGTTTAGACCTTAGACATATGTTTTATAATAAAAAAAAATTTGGTGTGGAACAAATAGTCATTTAAATGCAAAACAAAAATCAGTCGCAACATTAAAAATAAATTTATATATATACTAGCTGACCCGGCAAACGTTGTGTTGCCATCTTGTGGAACTGTGGATGGAACAAAATAATATAAAAATCGCGATTAAAAATCAGGGGTTGATCGTATAAGGGTGAAAATTTAGAACTGTATGTATTTTTCAATGCTGAATCATGAAAAAATAAAAACAGAAAATTTTGTCCAAAAAATAAAAAAAAAAATTTTGGTGTGGACCACCCTTAACATTTAGGAGTATGAAAAATAGATGTTGGCCGATTCTCAGACCTACTCAATATGCTCACAAAATTTCATGAGAATCGGTTAAGCCGTTTCGGAGGAGTACGGGAACGAACATTGTGACACGAGAATTTTATATATAAGATAATGATTTCAATATGTCAAGCATGTGTTTTCTAATTAATATTTAGCTATATCATTTTTAATTTTTATTTTAGTTAATTATTATTAATTATCACTCTTTCTGAGATATTACTCGTATAATTCAATGCTAGTTGGGGAATGTAGTCGGTAGAGTAGTAGTTGTTTTCCAACAGTTAGCAATCTTATCTATGAGGTTATATATCTCTTGTAGTGATGGAAATAATCGAATGAATTAAATAATCGAGAGGTTACCTTTCGAATTAAGTTTATAATCGAATGATCATTCGAATGATATATAATCGAAAGTCCACTTCCAAAATTTCCGACCTATCCCAAAAATTATATGCGAAAAAAAAACGAAATTAATGACTTTTGCGTATTGCGGAATTTCTTCGTTGTCAGTTGAGTGGTTCATCAGCATGTGTTTAAAATGAGTAGTCGCCGCCTAAAGAGATCCATTATTTGGGTTTTTGAAAAAAAAAATTATTATATAGAAAACATAGTTTTTGTATTATTTTCATTCATATGAATTTCTATTCTTGCTAAATAAAGCTCCCTTCTAAACCGCCCTTCAAAACCGCTCGATGCCACTCATAAAAATACTGCATATCTTTTTTATGCGGTGATAATCGATTGTCTCATCCATCCTCTGGGCCGTCTTATCTCGAGGTTTTGTAGCTCGTTAGAGCGTTGGAATAATCGAAACTAGTGATGGGAGATTTCGAGTGAAAAATCGAGTGGTACTCGATTATTGAGATCACTCGAGATATCTCTAATATCGAGATGTTTACTCCCACCACTCGAGTGATTATTACCCTACGGTTGCACCCCAAAATGTTAGTGCATACTGCAAATAGTCACTGATTGCGTAACCTTTTTTTNNNCTCTCGGCCGTCTTATCTCGAGGTTTTGTAGCTCGTTAGAGCGTTGGAATAATCGAAACACCTGTGCTCTCGCTCGAGCAGCGCGTTTGCGTTATTCGGTGATGACGAGTGACGATTGACGTTAGTAATGCTGTGGCCACTGTCATTCGTCATTCGTCTAAGAATAATCGAATGAATTTATATGATCATTCGAGATATCTCAAGAGATTTTCATAATCGATATAATCGATAATTTTCATTCGAGTAGTCCCATCACTAATCTCTTGTATACCTAGATTTTTACTATCAAAGAACAGGTTGACTTCATTTGATAAGATTTTAGGAGTTTTTTAAAATGTATTTGAATTAGCTTAATTTACAGAATTATTCTCATAATGACGATTATTTAAAAAAATGTTTATCTGCTCTATAAGCAACTGTAAATTTTTAGCAATCGCTTTCTTTGTTTCTAAAAAAATAACCAAGTTTTTTAACACTCCGGAGATATTTATTATAATTAATAAAATAAAACAATAATCTGAAAGGTAAAATACTTACAAATTCAGTTCTCCTATAAAAATAAACATAACCTTCATCCCATGTATTGCCAGCTCCCGTTGGAGCACCTACTAATATGTCATCTCTAAGATCATTGTTCAGGTCCGCCGCCAGAAGAGATGATCCATAATAAGAACCGATTTCGTCGCTTGTCAAGGTGATTAATAGTCTGCCTGCAGCGTTAAAAATTTTGACCTAAAAAAGTACTATTAAAACATTTTTGACAGAAAAGTGTGTAACTGTGTAGGTATGTAATGTAATGCAATAGCGTACAGGGAATTTTGTCTTGGAAGCAAGGAGGACGGTTAAAACTTTAAAGCTCTTGACGATGAAATATGGTATGTGTAAAGACAAGACTACTTTGCTTCGAGGTTTTCCGTATGAGTGCTGTTTTTGATTTTTAATAAAAAATTTAAACAGGTCAGGTTATCTTTTCCTCATTGGTTATTTTACGTCGACTTATTTCTGCTATTGTGGCTAAAAACCGATGTCAGTAGAGAGGAAATTTAGCCGAACCCCATTTTGTCGTAGAATGAGCATGTTTCTTGCCTAACATTACTTAGACAAGGGACCAACAGTTTTACATCCTTTCCGATGTCTTTCTATACAGTGTCCCCCTAAAGTCGTGCACAAATTCATTATTAGGTAAACAAAAGAAAATATTAAAAATTCCCGAAACAGCTGGATTTTTTAATTTAATTTACAATTTTTTCAAATAATAATTTAATATACAGTGTGACCTATGTTCGAGTAATGACGTCATCACAATTTTTTTTAAATGGAACACCCCACTTTTTTTCCAATTTTCGGATTGCCCTAACTGAGCTGATTCCAAAAATATACCACAAGTTGCTTCTAATTGTTACAGGGAGGACAACAATACCCAAATTATTTACAAATACTAAATTTATTTACAAATAAATAAACGTACTAAAAATTGAATCAAATCACCACATATCATTTTAAAATGTCATTATTTTTTGCTATAATTTCTTTGATGCTTTTTTAATTTTATCTGCCTGATAGAACGTGCTCGTGTATTTCTTGCAGGCAATCATTTTTAAATAGTTTGTTAAGATTGTACAAGTAAATCCATTTTGAATGATTCTTCCTTAAAATATTGAGTATTTTTGAATTAATTAAAAAACATGATTCTAAGTGAAACCGAACGGATTGAAATTCTTATGATGATCGGATATGGTGATAGAATTCGAACTCATGAGGAAGTTTGTGTTTTGTTTAATGAAATTCATCCCAATCGTCCACCAATAAATCGATCCACGGTTAGCCGAACTGAAGCAAAGTTTCGAAATCATGGTCATGTTAAAGATATGCCCAGATCTGGCCGACCGACTGTAGATGAAGAAGTGCAGTTACAAGCCCTTTTGACCATTCATGAAAACCCGCAATCCAGTCTGAGAGTCGTAGCAGATAATTTAGGAATGAGTGAAAGTACATTGAGTAGACTTCTTCACAGAAACAAGTATCATCCCTACAAAGTCCACTTAGTACAAGAATTATGTGACGATGATTTCGACAGACGCACAGAATTTTGCGAAATGATGATGGAAGAATGTCAGGCAGATCCGGATTTTGTGAAACGCATAATTTTCTCCGACGAGGCGTCTTTTTATTTGAATGGCACCGTCAATAAACAGAATTGTCGGTACTGGTCAGATCGCAATCCACATTGGATGATGGAAGCACACACTCAGCATCCCCAAAAGGTCAATGTTTGGGCCGGAATTGTTGGTAATCGAATTTTGGGGCCGTATTTCTTTGAAGGAAATTTAGATGGTGCAAGATATTTGGAATTTCTTCAGTTCCATTTAGTTCCTTCCTTGAGTGTTCTATTTCCAAATGAAGAAGATCCAGATTTGCCCAATGAAACCATTTGGTTTCAGCAAGATGGTGCACCACCGCACTATGCCAGCGCTGTTCGCCGCTATTTAGATGACGTGTTTCCTCATCGGTGGATTGGCAGAAGAGGACCTAAGGAATGGCCCGCCAGATCACCAGATTTAACACCGCTCGACTTTTTTCTTTGGGGTTATGTAAAAAGCAAAATATACGTCAATAAACCAAACAGTATTAACGATCTGAAGGAACGAATTCGGCAAGAAGTTCGAGCGATCCCGCCTGAAGTCATTGGGAATGTACAGCAAGAATTTACTTCCCGTCTGGCCCATTGTTTGGCAGTAAATGGTCAACAATTTGAACATTTAATTTAGGTGTTTCTGGTGATTTGATTCAATTTTTAGTACGTTTATTTATTTGTAAATAAATTTAGTATTTGTAAATAATTTGGGTATTGTTGTCCTCCCTGTAACAATTAGAAGCAACTTGTGGTATATTTTTGGAATCAGCTCAGTTAGGGCAATCCGAAAATTGGAAAAAAAGTGGGGTGTTCCATTTAAAAAAAAATTGTGATGACGTCATTACTCGAACATAGGTCACCCTGTATATTAAATTATTATTTGAAAAAATAGTAAATTAAATTCAAAAATCGACCTGTTTCGGGAATTTTTAATAATTTTTTTTTGTTTACCTAATAATGAATTTGTGCACGGCTTTAGGGGGACACTGTATAAACCTCACCTAATTGCACAGCTTCTGTAAACACAGGCTACTAGCGAAGATACCTTCAACAAAAAAACATGCTTTAACGTTTCGATAGCAATGATTTTTTTCTACATTTTCATAAACAAAATTCAATTCAACTGAGTTTTGCTGGGGAGCCTAAATTATCCGCTTCATTATTTCTATGACTCTTCCTCTTGTTATTTTTGCCCTGTGAGTCGCTTTTTTCTAAAAAATAGATTTATCCATACAAAATTCCAAAGTTTGCTTAGCTGATATCTGACATTGTTCCCTTGTGTTTAAGGAAAGTTTACCCAGGACTTAAAAGATTTAGCTCAAACTGAACATTGCATTAGTTCTTTTTTGTAGTGTTGACATTTTATTTGTATAAACTGCCCTGAGTCTTGAGATCCACTATCCATGTCTTTGTCCATTTGTCTTTCATCTATCTCCTCAAAGCACTGTAAGGAAAGTCACAAGCCGGCTGTGATCCTTAGAGAAACGTTTTAGATCGTTTCTACTTGTTACTTTTTCATCCCCTCCAATATATTTGTGCCCTAATATCCAGTTCAGGTTGACCGTATTGGTGTTTGTCAGTCCACTTAGCAGTTAGAAACAAGCTTTGAGTATCCCTTGCTTGAATATAAGGTCTTTATTGCAGCCTGGCTGTAGGATATTAAAAAGAGTTTAGTGAAAGTTTCTTGAAATCCTCTAGACAAAGTTGCCAGCTTATAGCTTCTTTGCCATCTGGGTTTCAGCGTTTGTGACAAATTTCCAAAGGATACCTTGACATTTTTATTTAACTGACATTCAAGCTCTTATATTAGCAGGGACAGAGAGTTTAAGAGGGACAAACTTTTAACATATTGTATTAATTTTTTAAAATATGTACTAGTACTTACATTTCCCAACAAATTACTAGCTCGTGGTGATCCTACCACATAGTAAATAATTTTGTGATCAAGATCAAATCTTGCAGAGGTAATAGCGTATCCTAAAAATGTGTTAATTCAAAATAAATATTGTCTTACTAACAATTTTATCGCTTCTTCGACATTAACCTTATTTTTGGCCTTCCAGTCAAATAAAAGTAGAATGCAAACTAACCTAAATATCCAAAGTTTTCCGTTAAAGTCGGAGCAGTCTTTCTAGGAATTATCTGCAGGCCATATGATGTTTGAGCTACCAACGCACCTAAAAATAAAATAATTATAAAACTGAAAATTATGTGGTGATTGATCAAACACATGCCTAACTCGAAATTTATGAGCTTAAAATTAAGTAAAGAATGCACAGAATAAAAGCCTAAATTTATGTATTTGTAGAGGTCGAGCGTCATATTGTTTATAACAAATGAAAAAAAATAATAATTGTTCTTTTTTCAGTTCTTCGCTTATATCTCCGAAAATAAGCCTCTAATCGACATGAGGTATGCTTATCGATTTTGTCTCTGAGGAAATTTGCTACAAGAATAGGCTTTTGCGAAAGCTCGTAAAAAGTTTTTTACGTTGCAAAATTACCGGTGAAAAATGTGCTAAATTTTCAGAATTAAATAAAAAGAACAACGATTGAAATTGCATGAAACTACAGGAAAACATAACTGTTGGGGTCAACAAATATCCGCAATCCGGACCCCTAATTTCAAAATGGCGGCCTACTGCAAAATTATAAAGTCGAAAACGCGAGCACATATATCTTCTGCTCAAGTCAAGATATCAAAATTCGGCAAAAAAGGATCGAAAGGTAATTATATTATCTCACATCTGTGTAAATTTCAGATTTTTAAGTTGCAAAATAAAAAAGTTATTAACAAAAAACTAAAAAAAAACGGTAACTAAGGTCCTTATCTCGGCGGTTTTTTAATATACAGATTTCAAACTAACTACATCAAATAGTGCTTAATAAAACATTAATTTAAAAAAAAAGTCTCGATCCGACCAATAGGAGCCGAGAAAATTTTTTTTCTTAAAAGCGGTATTCTGGCTGTTCTATTTAATATTTTGTAATAAACTTGGGCTCGTTGTAAAGTACAAGACTTCCTTTATACGCTGATTTTTTTTTTTAATGGATTCAACCAAGAAATGACCAAGTAAACGTGCGTTAAAGGCAGAATGATCCGCGCGGCGGCCCACACGGCTGAGCGGTAGCCAGGAGAGGGGAGCGCTGTGACGTCATAGTGCGCAGCATAAGCATATGCTGCGCTCGACTTCTCAAAATTCCTACTTAACAAATGAATTGTGTGCTTAGAAAGCAGCTACCGGGGTGCTTTTTCTTTAAATCAATTCATTTTTTCCGTTCTTTCGAATGGTGTAAACAAAAGTCTGTAAAAGTAATCGCCAGACTGAAAAATACATTTTTATTGTCATTTCACGTTTTGTAATTTTATTATGCTCTCGATATTTTGAAAAGTAAGAAGGTCATTTTACGTATTTAAAAACAAAAGTCAATTGTGTTTCTCTGAAAAAAATTATCAGTAAAATTTTTGCACAGAAGGTAGGTACCTGAAGTACTATTAGGGTTTACTGTCTTTGTTACTCATATTGCGGACTTTCTTATTAATCTGTGTATCTCGCGGACACGATGAGTTTGGTCAAGCTGTGTTTAAATGCAAATTTGACGATCTGAGTAAAAGATAATGACTGCAACTGCAAAATTAAGATAAATTTGTTTACCATTCCAATTCTTAACTCCAGGGGCACCAAACAGTAGGGTTTTAGAATCCTAAAAATTAAAACATCTTCACTAAAAATCTTCAAAAATGTGACAAGAACTTACATGCACATATTCGACATCAAATCCAGCCTGTGCAAAACCAAAATCATAGAAATAAGATCGTGTGACAGGATCTTGGCTTATAGAATCTAGAATATTATAATAATTACTACGATGATATTTTTTAAGTAAAATTATAAACTTACTTGCATTTTGCAACGGTTTTAAATCCTTATAAGTTCCTTTGATATTCGAGGAGTTACTTTTTAAGAAACACCAACCATTTAAATAGTTGTGTTCACCTATAGCTTTGACAACGCGAGGTGCACAAGCCTGAAACAAAATTACATGTAGAGTTGTTTCAAAATCTTATGAGCTTTGACCTTCATATGCGCAGAAACATAATTATGACCGTCGCCTAAATTATTCTACGTCCTAAAAACATTGCATCTATTATTCACATTCTATCTCGAGCTCTCGTAGCGTAAACAAGTCTTTGATCCGATTACAAAATTACAAATATCATAATAAAATGCCTTATTCTTTATTATTTTAATTTAAGCAATAAAAATATATATAACGAACGTTCGCCAGTTGATTTTATAGATGCCCGAGCGCCTTAGTTCATTTCTGGTTGTAATAAGGCACGTGATCTAATTATGAGTCAATGTTTTCACAGCGTGCTTATTAGAAGAATTGTGCGAATATGCTACGCCTTTCGCGCATTTCGCGGCTCATGAGATTTTGAAACTACTTTACATAGTGCAGGTTCTTCATTTCCCAATACTGGCATCTAGTAAATGGTAAGAGATGCAAGCAAGTTAAATTAAAAATAAGCTGTCTTATGCTCTTGATAGGAACAAAAAAAAATGAATTTCTAAAAAACCGTTCCGTATAGATTTTATTTCTCAGCATTTTTAAAATAATAGCAATCTATTATATCCTTATCATGTACAACAGGTTCAGCATCTGGAACTGCATGACTTACTTTCACGGGTACATTTTTGCCGATGGATTCAAGCAAATTCTCAATTAAGAAGAGGTATATTATTTACCGATGAGTCATTGTTTATTCGAGACGAAGAGAACAATATGCACAGCTCGCACAGATGGTCTGATGAGAATCCTAATTTGAAAAAAGAATCTACTGTTCAACGACGATTTTCTATAAACGTCTGGTGTGGCATAAATGATAATCACCCAATTGGGACCTTCTTTTTTGAAAGGTGCCGTAGAGGAGAAGTTTACACCAACTTTTTACGTAATGAATTGTCATGTATATTGAAGATACACACAAGACAACAAATAATATTAGAACATGATGGAGCTCCTGCTCATTTTAGTCGACTAACGAGAGAGCATCTTAATTAGGGCTATATTAATAGGTGGGTCGTACGTGGAGAACTATATTCTTGGCCACAGAGATTACCAGATCTCAATACTTTAGACTAAGGGGCTATTTTACTTTGTGTATGAGACACCAATTAACAGTAGACAGGAGCTTCGGCAGATAATTATTGATAAATGTCAGCGAGTGAAGAATAATCAGAGGATTTTGAGTGCAGCCACCACACATATTCGTGGTCGTACCTGTACAGTGATTAATGCTGAAGAAGGACATTTTGCAAAACCTAAATAAGTATGTATACAGGGTGTTGCGTGTATAATCTATAAAAATTAAACTACATCTTGCTGATGACATTTGTAATAGAAAACTCTTATACGAAAAAGTTCTATCTTCGCGNTCAAGACCCCTGGAGTATCTTTCTCCACTGTTGTTACCCGGACGGCGACTTTTTGTGGGACATCCGGGTCTCACACTGAAAGTTCGTCACAAGGTTCAGCATCTGGAACTGCATGACTTACTTTCACGGGTACATTTTTGCCGATAGATTCAAGCAAATTCTCAATTAAGAAGAGGTATATTATTTACCGATGAGTCATTGTTTATTCGAGACGAAGTGAACAATATGCACACCTCGCACAGATGGTCTGATGAGAATCCTAATTTGAAAAAAGAATCAACTGTTCAACGACGATTTTCTATAAACATCTGGTGTGGCATAAATGATAATCACCCAATTGGGACCTTCTTTTTTGAAATGTGCCGTACAGGAGAGACTTTTTACGTAATGAATTGTCATGTATATTGAAGATACACACAAGACAACAAATAATATTACAACATGATAGAGCTCCTGCTCATTTTAGTCGACTAACGAGAGAGCATCTTAATTAAAGCTATATTAATAGGTGGATCGGACGTGGAGAACTATATTCTTGGCCACAGAGATTACCAGATCTCAATACTTTAGACTAAGGGGCTATTTTACTTTGTGTATGAGACACCAATTAACAGTAGACAGGAGCTTCGGCAGATAATTATTGATAAATGTCAGCGAGTGAAGAATAATCAGAGGATTTTGAGTGCAGCCACCACACATATTCGTGGTCGTACCTGTACAGTGATTAATGCTGAAGAAGGACATTTTGCAAAACCTAAATAAGTATGTATACAGGGTGTTGCGTGTATAATCTATAAAAATTAAATTACATCTTCCTGATGACATTTGTAATAGAAAACTCTTATACGAGAAAGTTCTACCTTCGCGTTTTTTTTTTTTGTTTATTCAACGAAAATGAAGGCCGACCCTGTGTTATTTATTAAAAACTTTGGAAATGTTTTTATGCGACCCGAGATGCAACCATATAATTTAATTCGGTATAATCTAATACTAGTAATACTAAAAGAAGTTTAGGTTACATTTGTGCAGTCAACTGATTTTGTATTTTTGTATTGAATTCATTATTCACTTAATCATTAAATATTAAGCATCGTCCATCGACCCACCAGTGTTAAAAAGTGAAAGATTCCAGCAAAAGACTTTATTTTGTGATAGTGACAGTGTAATTTTTATAAAGAAGTAAAAAATAAGAATAGCATGCCGATTACATTAAAAATGAGATTCTTATTTCTTACTTTCCTTAATTTTTTAGTTTTGTACACAAACTATAGTAGGATCATATTCGATGCAAAGTAATAAATCATTGCCTGTCAAGGGAACCAATGAAGTACGCTTTTAAGGGATTTACAAATTGAATAATTTCTTTATACATTATGAAGGGACGAGGGGATCAGTTCAGGTCTGGCACCCTTGTTCCTACAAAAATTCCTTTATTCTCATAAACTATTTATTTTAAATGTAATTTATTATAAATCCAATTTGTTTCCTAAATTCCACATATGTACTACATTTTACCTCTGTACGCGCCACTGTTGTTTACTTGTTTTTTGGAAGCGCTCTCTAATTGACGGCAAAGCTCGCCAGGTTAGTATTTGACGTATAACCGACCAGTTCGTACACTCGATGCACCTGGGCGACTACAGCTACTACCAGAACACAGTGCGTATGCAGCGGTATTTCAGATTTTACATTGAATTTCATTTTAAATTTGAAATGATTTATCTTACGCCTCCTAAAAATGATGACACGATTTTCCTTTGATAAAAG